AATGATATATGGTGGTTTAGTATTTTGGGCTCATGGCGACTGTTGCACACCCCTTTGTTTCCCAGATTGCTTTACATGCAAATTTTAATTAATTTTTGTATCCATATACTGTGCAGTCGACAAAACATGAATGGGTTAATAACTTTAAAACTAGACAAGACAGGCACATCTAGTGAAGTGTGCTTTGATCAGTGGACAACAGGGAATTACTTTTCTAATTATATACAAAAAAAGAATTGACTGACACACCCAATGTTAAGTTTAGTCTAGTACTGTTTATTATTGCTTGGCAGTGTTCTCCTTTTAAGTAAAAATGTGTAGTTACAGTATATTACATTTTAAACTTATCTTTACTTGCACCATTTCTTTGCACATGCCCAATGCTTTTGCACAGTACTGTATGTTTTTGCTTTGATAGTGACAGAATCTGATATATTATTTCTGACCTTGTTGTGTCAAGGCATCGGGTGACCTTTTCCTTTGATTCTCCAAGTGAATTCAGAAAAATTGTTTTTTTTTGTGATGGATACATTGCCTAAAACAAATAATCAAACATAATTGTAAAATTTAAGCTAAACCAAATGTATATGCCTGTCCACTTACAGCAAGAGTCCAGTGTCCGTGCTCACCGATCACTCCAAGCACCATTTGGTACTCTTTGGGGTTCCACTGACAAAATACAATATTGTATTTGTAGATATAATAAATAGATAGAATAAACAAATCATATTTATAGATATATAATCAAGAGAAGAAATGGTACCTTTATGAGAATGTTGTATGACCCCTACCACACCTTGGCCATAGCAAAAGAATCAATCATAAAAGCTTTGTCCTCGCTGATTTGATTGTGTTTTCTGACCATTGCAAAGATATATGCATTTATAACCTGTTACGAACCCCAGTCTAGGGTTGGGGCGTAACAGAGGAAGGGAAAGGGGAATGGGGAATAAGGGAAACACAGGGTGTGGTGCACAAGGGAAAGCAGCTCTTTAAGATGATCAAAGTCAGTCACACCACTAGCGGTACACCACTTATCAAAGAGGAGTGACTTCTCCCGAGCGGTGGCCCTTAAAACAGTGGCCTTCACCACATCATAATCTAGACTCTGTTCTAATCCAAGAGCCGAACATACCGTATTCCTGAGCTTTCCCTACGAGTTTGCATTGAAGCAAAAGCGACCAAAGGTGCCTGGGCCAATTCAAAGTGGTCGCGATGCGCTCGAAGATGGGGAAATATGCATCCACTTCATTTTCTCTAAATATGGGCACGAGTCCAATATGGCGACTCACGTCAAATCCAATGTTCTCCCTTTCAGGAGATCGAGTTAAACCCAGCGGAGATTGAGGATTAGGACGCACGTTCTCGTCCGGCGAACCTACACCGGCACGAGCGGTGGAGCGAGCAGTTTCAAGGGGCGAGCTTACCTTCCGCGGCGGAGG